TTTTTTTTTTGAGACAGGGTTTCACTCTGTTGCCCAGGCTGGAGTGCAGTGGCACGATCTTGGTGTACTGCAACTTCTGCCTCCTGGTTCAAGCAGTTCTGGTGCCTCAGCCTCTGGAGTAGCTGGGACTAAGGTGTGCGCCACCACACATAACTAATGTTTGTATTTTCAGTCGAGATGGGGTTTCACCATGTTGGCCAGGCTGGTCTCGATCTCCTGAGCTCAAGTGATCCGCCTGCCTTGGTGTCCCAAAGTGCTGGGATTACATGGGTGAGCCACCCCACCCAGCTTCCGTTGATTTTCCCTATTGTTTTTGCTTTCAATTTCATTGATTTCTGCTCTTATTTTTTAATTTTTTATTGATTTTGAGACAGGGTCTGACTCTGTCACCCAGCCTGGTGTGCAGTGGCACGATCTCGGTTCACTGCAACCTCTGTCTCCCAGACTCAAGTGATACCTCTGCCTCAGCCTCCCCAGTAGCTAGGCTACAGGCACACACCACCACACCTGGCTAATTGGTTAATTTTTTCTTTCTTTTCTCGAGATGAAATCTTGCTCTGTCTCCTAGGCTGGAGTGCAGTGGCCCAATCTCTGTTCACTGCAACCTCTGCCTCCCAGGTTAAAGCAATTCTCTCACCTCAGCCTCTCGAGTAGCTGGGATTACAGGCATGTGCCACCACACCCAGCTAATTTTTTTTTTTTTTTAGATGGAGTCTCACTGTTGTCACCCAGGCTGGAGTGCAATGGCACGATCTCAGCTCACTGCAACCTCGGCTTCCCGGATTCCAGCAATTCTCCTGCCTCAGCCTCCCGAGTAGCTGAGATAACAGGCATCAAGTTTTTGTATTTTTAGTAGAGATGGGGTTTCACCATGTTCACCAGGCTGGTCTTGAATGCCTGACCTCAAGTGATGCACCCACATTGGCATCCCAAAGTGCTGGGATTACAGGCATGTACCACAGTGCCTAGTGCCCAGTGCCCGGCCTGGCCGCTCTTGTCTGTATTATTTCATTCCTTCAGGTGTAATTCTTAGACTTTCCTAAATTGGAAATTCAGATAATTGATTTAAGACATTTCTTTTCTCATGTAAGCATTTTAATGCCATCAGTTTTCTTCTGATCACTACTCTAGCTGTATCCCATAAATTTGGATTTGTTGTATTTTCATTTTTATTCAATTCATAATAGTTCTTTAATTTCCCTTGTGATTTCCTCTTTGGCTCATGGGCTATGTAAAAGTGTTTTGTGGCTGGGCATGGTGGCTCACGTCTGTAATAGTAGCACTTTGGGAGGCCGAGGCGGGTAGATCACCTGAGGTTAAGAGTTTTAGACCAGCCTGGCCAACATGGTGAAACCTCATCTCTACTAAAAGTACAAAAAGTAGCCGGGCGTGGTGGTGGGTGCCTGTAATCCCAGCTACTAGGGAGTCTGAGGCAGGAGAATTGCTTGAACCCAGGAGGAGGAGGTTTCGGTTGCAGTGAACCGAGATCATGCCACTGCACTCCAGCCTAGGCAACAGAGCAAAAACTCCATCTCAAAAAAAGAAAAAAAAAATGTTTTGTTTAATTTACAAGCATTTTAGGATTTTCCAGATATATTTCTGTTATTGATTTCTAGTTTAATTCCATTATGGTAAGACAATATATTTTCTGTGATTTCTGAGCTGTTTGGTTGTAAGATTTTAGAACACTTTTCAGGTCTAGTTCTCAGGTTATGAGGTCATTCTTTGAGCATTTTTTCCCACTTGCTTTGCCTCCATTAACAGCATGTCCTTTAGGTGGTCTCTCCAGGCAGTACAGGTGTGTCACCTTCATTTTGTTTGTGTCCAGGCCTCTGAATTGTTTTGTGGTCTATGATGAGTTATGTGGTCTCATGGCAGGCACGGTGGCTCATGCCTGTAATCCCAGCACTTTGGAAGACCAAGGCCAGTGGATCGCTTAAACCTAGGATTCGAGACCAGCCTGGGCAACATGGTGAAATCCTGTCTCTAGAAAAAATTACAAAACTTAGGCGTAGTAGCCTGCTCCAGTCGTCCCAGCTACTGGGGAGGCTGAGGTGGGAGGATTGCTTGAGCTGGGGAGGTGGAGGTTGCAGTGAGCTGAGATCATGCCACTGCACCCCAGCCTGGGTTACAGAGTGAGACCCTGCAAAAATTGTATGTGATCTCTGTCCAGATTCGAATCTATATCCCAAGTGGTGAGGTCTCTGAGCTGTTTTGGAGTCTGTGTCCAGGGTGTGAGGTATGTGAGCTGTTTGGGATTTGTTTTCCTAGTGTACAATGTCCTTGAGGTGTTTCGGCCTTTGTGTCCCAGGGTATGAAGTCTCTGAAATGTTTGCAGGATTTTGTGATGAGGTTGAGATCTATGAAATGACTGGGAATCTATTAAAATATGTTCCATTATTGAGTTCTCTAATTTTGTTTTGTGGTCTGTGTTCAGTGTGAATTCCCTGAACTGTTTCGGACTCTGTTTCCCATGGTGTGAGGTCTCTGAGCTCTGTTGTGCTCTGTGTGCAATGATGTAAAGTCCCTGAGCTAGCTGGGTATTTCCAGTGATGAGATCTGATTCTGTTTCACAGCCAACTGGTACTCCATGGAATAATCGCCTTTATGCATTTGCCCGTAGTTGTTTGCTCCTCCCATTCTTGTGCACACAGGACTGTGCACATATGTGTGATTATTTCCTTAAAACACATACTTAAAAGTGAAACTGCCAGGCCAAATGAGTCATTTATTCAACAAATTCCCCTTTGAGCACCTACTGTGTGCAGGGCAGTTTCAGGTGGAGACACCCGGGGTCTAGAAATACACATATGCCCCCCTACCCTTGGGTTGCTGACATTCCAGTAAGGAGGGGTGTCTGCTTTTTATTTTGATAAATGCACACAAAGGCACACTTCCATCAGTGGCCTCAGGGGAATGAATGAATACCCATTAATGGGCAATGGCTTTGCAGCAAGGGTTTGGACGCCTGGGCCTTGGCTCTAAACCGGATCATCAGGGTATGGGGCAGGGACGGTTCTCTGGGTTACGTGGGTGGGGGGAGACAGGACTGGAACGTGGGCAGGAGAAAGGCATGAAAGAGAGAGTCCATTTAGTTGTGTTGTTGTGAACCGAAAATTGATTCACTAGACACTGACATGTAAGAGTCCTTGTCACACACACAAGGAGAACGTGAGCGGTGGGAATAAAGGGTTAACGACTAGACTGTTTAGCTCCAGGACCATACCACTACGGTGATGGGAGGTACCACAGGGGAGGGGTCGTGTATTTCGGAAGGCACCATTGTACTAGTGAAGACAAGAAAGGTCTCCTCATTCCGCGAGTGGATCGGCCTCCACCCTAGACCGAGGAGAGAATGACTCTGCCTTGACCGACCCCAGCGCCGGGCGGACCCGATCTTCGGCCTAAAGAGTCCACCCGTCTGGAAGCCGCCACCACCAAGCTTTTATTAATATATCGGTTCCCACCGGGTTGGCTATACAGATGTTAAGCAACTCCGGGGGTGGGGTGAGGAGGAGGCCGCGGAGCGGTGATTGCTTCCTGGATGAGTTGCATAGGGCGGGACAAAATCCTGTCCTGAGCTCTGATTGGTCACCGCGAGACTTCCCGCTTAAGCTCTTCCAGGGTACCAAGGTTTTCCGGAATCACTAAGAGGCTACAAGCCGAGTCCCGGCTCCGCGCTCCCATTGGCTGCTGTTTCGGCGCAGGCGCTGTGGTTCCTGGGTTGGCATTCAGGGTTGCCGAGGTAGGGCTTTGGCTACTGGAGACCGTAGGTTCGAATCCCTCTGGGAACTTCAACTTGTGCACCTGTAAAAGAAGCTGGCATTAATGGCTTGTACTCAAGGGCTGGCACAGAGTGTGTCGGGTAATCTTTTCTATTTTCTTTTACCTATTCTTTCTTTTTTAAAACAATGCTTATTGCATCCCATTATATTGATTTCAGGACCCACTCACCGTTCAAAACAGCACTGAGAAAAACTCTTCTCCAGGGTCCCTGGCATTTGTCTTTCAGGCTGCCTGTAGCTCTGAGTCCAGCAGATAAGATTCAAGGTGATCTCATGATTCTCCTCCAGGCCAGCCCCCATCCCCCAGAAGAGGGTGACTTGGAGGCTTCCTTCTCCCTCTGGACTAGGCTTGACTAGGAGTGTGATGGGGTGGGCCATAAGTGACTAAAGAGGGATGCATGGTTTCATACTCTGGGATCCTGAGAGGCTTGTGGCAACTGCAAGGAGATTTTTGAAGGGGGACAAGACTTAAAAAAGTACACTTTTAAATGATGGGATTTTAAACATGAGACAGGGGAGGTGTTTGGCTGGCTAGGTAGGTAGGTAGTAGGAAGAAAGTGGTTCTAAAGTCAAGTCAGCTCATCATAAGGTAGTTATTACACTCTGCAGTTCGGAGGACTGTGTGCAGGATGTGAAGTCTGATTTGTTTTGGAATCTCAGTTCGGAGTATGACTTACAAAAAGACTGTGAAGTCTCTGCTGTTTGAAAATCTATATCTGAGAGGTTTAGGTGTTTGAGATGTTTGTGGGTCTCTGTCCCAGAGTGGGTGGGTAGGTTTCTTTTTCTTTCTCTCTCTCTTTCTTTCTTTCTTTCTCTTTCTTTCTTTCCTTCCTCCCTCCCTCCCTCCCTCCCTCCCTCCCTCCTTTCTTTCTTTCTTTCTTTCCTTCTTTCTTTCTTTCTTTCTTTCTTTCTTTCTTTCTTTCTTTCTTTCTTTCTTTCTTTCTTTCTTTCTTCTTTCTTTCTTTCTTTCTTCTTTCTTTCTTTCTTTCTTTCTTTCTTTCTTTCTTTCTTTCTTTCTTTCTTTCTTTCTTTCTTTCTTTTTCTTTCTTTCTTTCTTTCTTCCTTTCTTTCCTCCTTTCTTCCTTTCTTTCCTCTTTCTTCCTTTCTTTCTTTCTTTTCTGTTTTTTTGTTGGTCCAGAGTGTCCCAAGGTTTCTAAGCTGTTTATGGATCTTTGTCCCCAGATGTGCAGGGTTTTTTTCTTCTTTTTTTGTTGTGTCTTTATATTTATTTATTTGACAGGATATTGCTCTGTCGCCCAGGCTGGAGTGCATTGGTGCGGTCTCGGCTCACTGCAGCCTTGACTTGCCAAGCTCAGGTGATTCTCCCACCTCAGCCTCCTGAGTAACTGTGACTGCAGGCACATGCCACCACACCTGGCTAATTTTTTAAAATTTTTTGTGGAGACAGGACTTTCCATGTTGCCAAGGCTTTTTTGTGTGTTTTTAGGGGCAGGGTCTCTCTCTGTTGCCTAGGCTGGAATGCAGTGGTATGATCATGGCTCACTTCAGCCTCGACCTCTGGCCCAAACAATCCTCCCACCTTAGCCTCCTGAGTAGCTGGGACCACAAGCGCACATCATCACACCTGGCTAACTTTTTTTTTTTTTTTTTGGTAGGCCTGGTATGGTGGTTCACACCTGTAATCCCAGGACTTTGGGAGGCTGAAATGGGTGGATCACTTGAGCCCAGGAGTTTGAGACCAGCCTGGCCAACATGGCGAAACCCCATCTCTACAAAACAACACAAAAATTAGCCAGGTATGGTGGCACATGCCTGTAGTCCCAGCTATTCAGGAGTCAATGCTGCAGTGAACTGTGATCGCACCACAGCACTCCAGCCTGGGCAACAAAGCGAGACTCTTGTCAATTTTTTTTTTGTAGAGACAGGGTCTCCCTCTGTTGCCTAAGCTGGGCTCAAATGATTCTCCCGACTTAGCCTCTCAAAGTCTTGGGATTACAGGCATGAGCCACTGCATTCAGCCTTTTTTTTTTTTTTTCTTAAAATCGAATTTCATTTTTCTTTCATTGGCATTTCTGTGACTGCTAGAGGGGCTTAACATTGTTTTCTGTGCTTGTTGGCAAGATGTATCTAAGTTTTGTTTTGAGACAGGGTCTCACTGTGTTGCCCAGGCTGAGTACAGTGGCATGCACATTGCTTACTGCAGCCTCGACCTCCTGAGCTCAAACAGTCCTCCTGCCTCAGCCTCCTGATCCTGAGTAGCTGAGACCACAGGCATGTGCCACCACACTTCACTAATTTTTAAATATTTTTTATAAAGACCACGTCTTGCCATGTTGCCCAGGCTGGTCATGAATTCTTGGGCTCAAGGGATCCTCCTGCCTTAGCCTCCCAAAGTGCTGGGATTACAGGCATGAACCACTGCACCTGGCCTTATTTAAGTTTTCTAAATTCCCTTTTATGTCCTCTGATCATTTTTTTTGGCTACAATTTTAATTTTATTTTTTGGACACAGGGCCTTGTTTTGTCACCCAGGCTGGAGTGCACTGACATGATCATGGCTTACTGCAGCATTAACCTCCTGGGCTCAAGCGATCCTCTCACCTCAGCCTCCCAAGTAGGTGGGAATACAGGTGTGTACCACCACTCTTGGCTAATTTTTGTATTTTTGTAGAGAAGGGGTTTCACCGTATTGCCCAGGCTGGTCTCCAACTTCTGAGCTTAAGTGATCTACCCACCTCGGCCTCTAAAAGTGCTGGAATTATAGATGTGAGCCACTGCATCCAGCCTTTAACATTAAAAATTTTTTTGGAATATGAAAATGGGCTGAAAAAGAAAAAAAAAATTTACAACATTTTAAAATCATTTTAGACTTACAAAAAATTACAAAAATAGTGCAGAGCGTTCTTGTATACTCTTCACCCAGCTTCCCCTAATGTTAATTTATATAATCTTTGTATAATTTTTTTTTTTTCCTTTTTGTGGAGAATGGGGTCTCGCTATATTGCCCAGGCAGGTCTCGAACTCCTGGGCTCAAGCTATCCTCCCGCCTCTGCCTCCCTAAGAGCTGGGATTACAGGCATGAGCCACAGCGCCCGGCCTCTTTGTATAATTTTTAAAACCAGGCAGTGAATGATGTTGTTATTTATGAGCTGTTGTTCACCTGTTTGGTGTCTGTGTCCAGGGTGTGAAATATCTGAGCTCTTTGGACCCAGAGCTTTCTTGGGTTTTGTCTCATAATGTGATGTCTCTGAACACTTGGTATATGTTTTTAGTTGCTAGGTCTTTCATCTTCTTGGTCGTCTTTGTCCCAGAGTATGATGTCTTTGACCTGTTAGTGGTCTCTTTAGGCTTGTCTCTGGGCTGTATGGGCTTCCATGTTCAAGGTGTGAGGTTTCTGAGCACTTTGAAGGACTACGTTCAAAGCTGTGTGTACTGTCAGCTGGTTTTCATTGTCTTCTATCAGAGATTATGAGGTCAGTAAATACTTTTAGGTTCTATATCCAGGGCAGGGTTACTCAACCTCAGGACTATTGACATTTTGGACCAGAAAATTCTTTGTTATGGAGGGCTATTCTGTGCATTGTAGGATCTATTGTATTAGTTTACTAGGGCTGCTGTCATGACAAAGTACCACAATCTAGGTAGCTTAAATAGCAGAAATGTATTGTCTCGGTTCTGGAGGCTTGAAGTGTGAGATCAAGGTGTAGGCAGGGTTGGTTCCCTCTCGGGGCTGTGAGGGAAATGTGTGCCCTGCATCTTTCCTCGCTTCTCATGGCCTGCCCAATCTTTGCTGTTCCCTGGCTTCTGCTGCTTTACCCCATCACTACCTTCATCTCTATCTTGCATTCTCCCTGTGTGTCTTTGTCCAAATTTCCCATTTTTATAAAGACACCAGTGGTGCAGGATTAGGGGCCCAGTTTACTCCAGCATGACCTCATTCTAACTTAACTAGTTGCATCTGCGACAACCCTATTTCCAAATAAGGTCACATTCTGAGGTACTGGGGTTTAGGACTTCAACATATGAATTTTGAGGGGACACAATTTCACCCATAAGAGATGTTTAGCATGAGAGAAAACGGGAGGGAGGAAGGGAGCAGCCCCTGACACCCATAGCAGGCCTGGCCCCCATAGTTAGGCCATGTTCTCCTAGCAGACATGAACAATCTCACAGAATACCAGCCTCAGGTAAGGTTAATCTGAGACCATGACAAAATCACAAGAGCTTGGCCGGGTGAGGTGGATCACGGCTATAATCCTAGCAATTTGGGAGGTTGAGGTGGGCAGATTGCTTGAGCTCAGGAGTTCGAGACCAGCCTGGACAACATGGTGAAACCCCATCTCTACAAAAAATACAAAAATTAGCCAGGCATGGTAGCAGGTGCCTGTAATCCCAGCTATTTGGGGGCTGAGGCCAGAGGATTGCTTGAACCCAGAAATTAGATGCTGCAGTGAGCCGAGATCATGCTACTGCACTGCAGCCTGGGGATAAAGTGAGATCCTGTCTCAAAAAAATAATAAAATGAAATAGACAGAGCATAGCCACTTTATAATGTTGTCTAAGCACAAACAAAAATAAGGTCACTGTGTTGCTCATAAAATACCAAACATTCTCCTCTCTTGGTTAAAATGAGTGACTGCTACTTCCTTACCAGTGACAGCATTAGCCTCACTCTAGTCTCCCCTCCCTATAGATAAGATTTATTGAAATACCCAATTGTAAAGTTGCCTTTGTTTTCTGGGAGCATCCAATCTAGAGTGAGCCCCCGTTTCCTTAGACCCTCCCCGTAAATCACTCCATCAAACCCCACTACCCCACAGTTCCCCATGGAGTGTGTTCTCCCTCACTGCAATGAGTAAATTGTTCCAACTTGTTCAACTACAGGTATGTTCCTGGGTGGGGTGGGGGTCTTTGGCTAAAGGACACTAGCAAGCAGTATCTCTGGCTTTAAACCACAGATGCCGGTAGCACCCCCCTAACACACACACACATGTGTAACAGCCAGAATGTCCTTAGATATTGCCAAATGTACTTTAGGGGGCAGAATTGGCTCTGGTTGAGAACCATTGGTCTGGGGTATGAAGCGTTTGAACAATTTGGAGGTCTTTGTCTGAGATTT